GCCGAGCAGGGCATATTTGTTACTGCAGCATATTTTAACCTATACTGACCAATCATCAGACTGTATCCTAAGAGTGAAACAAATATGAAGATTGAAAAAAAAATTTAAGATTGAAAAAAAGATTCAGTGAACTCTCTTCTAAATCACATTAACTTTAATATATTAACAACGGCCTTTTTCTATATTAAAATTTTCACCTATGAGATCTTCATAAATATCTGCTGGAGGTATATGGATATCTTCCTCTATTCATCAGCATTTAAATATGCTCAAATATCTACTATCTTAAAGGAAACAGATGACTGGTAAAACAGGTCCTGCTTCAGTCTTCAAATAAATAGAATAGTACATACTACGTACACACATACTCTACACTCCCATACCACATAAACATACTACTACATACTTACTAGAAACCTCCCAAGATGACTACAGATATGGGTTCTATAAAACTCCAGCTAGCCTTGGCTGGTGTGGCTTAGTGGATTGAGCTCCAGTCTGCAAACCAAAGGGTTGCGGGTGGGATTCCCAGCCTAGGGCACATGCCTGAGTTGCGGGCCAGGCCCCCACTAGGGAGTGCCTCAGAGGCAACCACACATTGATGTTTCCCTCTCTTTCTCCCTCCCTTCCCCTCTGTCTAAAAATAAATAAAATCTTTAAAAAAAAAAACAAAAAACCTTTGTCTCCCTGCTCATATAAATGTAACATGGTATAAATTTAAGGTATAAAATGTAATGGGAGTGAAAATCCCAGTAAAGTTAATTAACACATCCATCACCTCATAGTAGGGTGTTTGGTTGTGTGTATGAAGATAAAGCAAAGAGAGAGACCAAAGGAAAAAAAGGTTGGGCCTGTGGATGAAAAAAAAAAGGGAGGGGGTGTTCTGTGGGAAGTAACCTCATAGGATGATCATAAGTTTCTAACTGGGCAAGTCTTGGAGGGTTGTTATGCCCCAGGCATATATGTAATTTATTTACTAAAAGGCTTATCTTTGCCTTAAGCAAGACTTATTCATTGTTTCTGTTCATCTAGGCTAGAACACCTTTGAAATAAACTGTAACCACCTTCAAGAAAACACATAACCTTGTTAAGTATTCTGTAATCCCATCTCTCACTATCTTGCTTGCTCCCACCTCCATATAATCTTCCTTACATCTTCTCCTTAATTTTAAATGCATAAAACCTGCTGCAAAACTGTTATTCTCGGGAGTATTTGAGGTCTTGATCTCTGGCATATGTCATCAGCTTGGCTCAAATAAACTAAAAAAATTCCCTACAGGTTTGGACGTTTCTTACAGTGATAAGCCCACGTACGTTTTCAAGTGTGTGTGTGTGTATGTGAGCATGCTTTGGGGTAAATCACACCTTCTTGGAAAGTGGCAGAGCTTCCTTTGCCTTGGGAATTCATTATTGCCCACTCTCATTGGGCTTAACTAATCTATGCTTTGTCCAGCCAAGTGCAATAGAAACAATAATGCACCACAGGGGATTTCAAATTTTTGAAAAAATCACATTTAAAAGACTAAGCACAAATAGAATTAAAGTGAATGACAACAGTATGCAAAACTCAGGAATGTTAAAAATAGAATTGAAAATGTTCTAAGTTATTAGCATTTGGGGTGGTGAGAAAAGTAATTAATTGTAGCGTAGTGTAGTATATTAAGGATGCATGATTTAATCATCAGTGTAATTACACAGACTTGTACATGATTTCAACTAACAAATTCATAGATGAAACAATAAAATAATAGTTAAATCAAAGTCAGTGAAGTAGAGAGTGAAGGAAGAATATCTAATTAGAGCGAAGGGAAGGAAAAGAGTAAGGTGATTGAAACAATTTCAGATTTATCAGTAATTAGGTAAAATGCAAATGCACAGAATATTAATTTACTTTTAATGTCTGTGTAATATATAGAATTATAAATAACTATTTTGGATAGTCTTCTCATGATAAATATTTAAACAGTCTCTATGTTTTTCTATTAAGACATAAATTGCATGGAAATTTTTGTGCATAGAAACTTCCATTTCTGTTCTTATAGAATGTAACAATGTGGGCAATAAAAAATCATTCAACTGTTGCTAGAAACTGAAAATACCACCCCCATCAACAAACGCATTGATTTTGTTCAGTAGATACTGAAGAATTTACCTCATTTTGCTATACACAACTACAGTAAAAAGGACTTTCATACTAATATTTTTAATGTCATTTGATAGTATACATTTCCTGAGAAAGAAAAGAGGTTGGCATATTCGTCTAGATGCAAGACCTCCCTCCCTCCTTTTGGCACAACCCTTAAAAGCTGATCATTTCGCCCCTGCTGGGTGGCCCGGCAAACCAGAGCACTTGGCCACATACAAAATCGTACCCACTGCGGGTTCAATCCCCAGCCAGGGCACACATACGAATGCATTTTTTAAATCTATAACAGTTTTGAACAGTGTCAATAATCCCATATTTTTAATCCCATTAGATTTAGGAATCTATCCAATACTATCAACGTAATAGGGTGTAGCATTATCTGCTTTTGGGATTATCACTCCCTTCCTCCATAAAAGGGGAATCAGAGGTAAAAGTCACTTCATTTTTCAGCAAGCCACAGGCTCTCTGCATCTCAGGAGTGGGTCTGCAAGACAACTCTGCAGCATGGGGGAACCTACATCTGCCTGCACTACAAACCGCCAACCTATTCTGGTGAGTACAGGTTCCATGTTGACAGCAAGGGTGTCCATCTGTATACTTCTCCTTTTGTGAAACCTGAAATTAGTAGACTGCTACTCGTAAAACAAGAAAGTATCTTACTAAAGGTCATTTCTTAGGTGTTAAAATGTTGGGTGTTAAGGGATTGTACACTTTTTTGTATATAAAGCTTTCTTGGGAATAATATACCTGATGCATTTTGTTTTGTCATTTTGCTTTGTTTTTAACCAACATTAATCATCATTAGAAATTAGTAGTAGTATCTGACCTTGTACTGTTTAAATTGTTCCCCTCTCTAGAAAATTCTTTTATATACAGTGTGCTGAATCATATAAACAAAAATTTAGTGCTGTACTCAAAATCGTGTCATCAGTTAGTTCTTTTATAATCTGTCATCAATAATTGTAGTTATTTTTTCTCTCTTTATCCCTCTTAACCTCTCATCCTCCATCCCTTCCTCTCTCTCTCTCTCTTTGGCCTTACTGTTTCTCACAGCACTTAATTATATCCAACACTATATTGGACATTCATCAGTCTATTAACTCTTTCCTCCAACCCAGATTATAATCAACAGGGACAGTGACTTTCAAGTTAAATTCTAAATCACAGGTTTTAGTAAATACGCAACTTGGCATATAAAAGGTGCTGTATAAATGGGAAAAACAGAAATTTCACTTCAAACTGAGACATCTTGGGCAATGGAAGGGACAGCATTAATTATGGCAGGACAATAGTAATATAATGAGATTATGATTTCTCCTTTTAAACGTAACTCTGAAGACAGAAGTAATTGGATTAAAAGAAAAGGTATGCTGATTGGATTTACATTTCCCCCTTTAACAGGTTAAGAGGGAAAGGATTTTAAAAATCCTTTGCAGTGATAAAATATTGCAGATCATTGTATAATTCTGGTTGGGTAAATTTGTTTGAAATATTTAGAATTTTTTTGGAGCTTGAACAATTTCTTTCAATAAACCTATCTGGGCACCTTCTGAGAGCAATTGGAAAAGTGAACATGGTGGTGTGAAGCATTAAAGTCCACAATAGACTTCATGGAGTATCCAGCTTAGTGAAAAAAATATATATATAAATATATATAATATAAAATAATATTTAAAAACATACAAATAAAAATTGAAAAAATTAACACAGAGAATGTAATATTAATTTTGATTGCTGGATTAGGGAAGGTCATTTTGTATAAAGAATATTTTGTAGGAAATTTGAAAGAAAGATGCTAAAAAATTATTCAAAAGTTGAGAATGTTTATATGGATTCAGAAGAGTGGATAGCTGGTCCACTGATATACATGTGGAGTGGCAGGGCATCCAGAATAATGCTCAGTTTGAAATAGGATTTTACCATCAACAAGTGACTTTCAGGGACACTGAGAGAGTGGTGAATTATTTGGGGAGCTGGTTGGTTCAGCAGGACACGTGGTCACTGTGAGTTGAGTCAAGGATGTGAGCACTGAGGTGCTGAATGGGAAGATGGATATTTGAGTGTCAGGGTTGAAGTCAGATTACACTGATTCTATGGGCATTTCTAGTTCATTAATAGTATTTATAGCCATGGAAATGGATGGATGGCATAGAAAGAGTGGATGTAGAATAAATGTTGAGCTTCTGACTTCTAAGAAGCATCAACTGTGTTAAACAGATTAACAGGGAGGAGCAGGAGAAAAGGAAGAGTCAGCAGGATAAAAATGGTTATTTACAGTGGAGATCTTTGTGCAAAAAAGAAATTGTGTGATGGAAATATGATATTTCTGAGTTACTTCTGAACCAGAGAATATTTAAGGCAAGATGGGACTTGGGTGTGCAAGTAAAAGTGCGTGTTGAGGGGTTGAAAGGCACACAACTTCACTGGGCTAGAGGGTACCAGCATATGTGTGGCTGGCATTGACACAAATGCGGAGAGGGAAACATCCCCAGAGGAAGATGGTGAATGAAATGGTCTGGAATTGAAACCACATAATGACCTTGAGCCTTCTGTTCTTGACTCATATCTGCTTTGATGTCACCAGATCTAGTCCTTAGTGTGGGGAGCCTGTGTTAGCAGTATCAGCAATCTGGGAACACTTAGGCATGTGAATTCTTGCCCCAACCCTAGGTCTGCTTGGAATGAGGTCCAGAAAACTGAGTTTTAACAATTTTCCAGCTGGCTGTGATGAACATATACATTTCTCCAGAAAGAGAGGAGGGTACGTAATCCAAGTGAACTGAAAGCCTTTATCTCCTATGTTATTCAAACTTTAAATTTTATTGTGTTTTCAAAGGGAAACCTCAAAAGAAATATGATACCCCAGCCTTTAGAGAAGAAGAGAAAACTTTTATCTGAGACCAAGCGGAGACGTCGTGAAAGATCTGAACTTCCTATGAGGCAGACCAGCTGCATTTTCAAGAGGCCAGTCACACGGATAACTTCCCATCCTGGCAATAAGGTCATGCGCAAGCTGCAAGAGAACAACTTGGAGAAGCCCCAGCAAGTCTGTGCATACAGGAGACTGCAGGGACTCCAGGCCTACAGCAGTGAAGGGGAGCCTTTAAATACACTGGATGCCATGAATACAATCACACAGAGAAGCGCAGCTGGTCCTGGGCCTGTATGCACCGGCCCCAAGCCCACCACATCATGGTCTTCAGATTGGGCTGAGATGATCCCAGGGGCAGGTCGGTGTGTCCCACAGCTCCTCTGCAGACAACCGGTTACCCGTGCAGATATCCGGAGACAGACTCTGAAGGTGAAAAAAGCAAGAGAGAGACTGGCTGCATCCTTGAGGGAAGACAGGCTGGCCAAGGAGGCAGAGAGAGCCAGGAGCCCAGAAGGACGTTGTGAAAACTGAGTGAAAATTATGAGAAGTTTGTGCCAGAAAGTCCAGTGGTGTGGCTTTTAGGAAGCGGTCCACCGAGACTGCTCTCAGTATACCTGTTTCCTTTAATGTTAGTCCTGTTTCTTACGATGCTTTGTTATATTAAGATTGTACATTATTAAACTCTTTCGAGAGACAAAGATATGAGAGGAGATGGTTTTGTGGGTGAGAGATTCAGTTTCATGTGACAAGAAAGGAGATCTTGTCCTTGTACCCCTCACTTTCTGTTTCCCATGGTTTTTAATCACTTTCACATTACATTCTACAGAGGTAACTTTGAGACTGATCAGTTACCATTTCTTCTTATAATACTTACACTCCAGGAAAAGGTGATACCTACTCTACAGAGATTTTTTTTAAAGATTTTATTTATTTTTAGAGAGGAGAAGGGAGGGGGAAAGAGAGGAAGAGAAATATCGATTGGTTGCCTCTTGCACACCTCCAACTGGGGCCCTGGCCCACAACCTAGGCCTGTGCCCTGACCAGGAATCAAACCAGTCACCTTTCTGTTTGCAGGCCCGCACTCAATCCACTGAGCCACACCCACCAGGGCTACAGAGATTGTTTTAATGGTAAATTAATTTGATTCCCTCAAATATGACTTTAATAAGCTTGCTTTTATATCTCATTCTAACATAAATTGTATCTTTTTGTTTTTTATTTTTTGCCAAAGGCTAATTCAGACATAAGACATTATAGTATAATTTAATTAGCACTTCTGCTATCTGTTACTAGAAATTACCTGGGTGATTTGTTTAGAGCAAACCTTAGCGTCTTCAAAAGGAAATGTTGTCTGGGAACATTTCACGCAGAGAGACCTTGGCAGCAGGCTCATGGTCTTGGCCCTGGCACTAGGTCCTGAGTCAAGGAACTTGCTCACCTACTCACAGCACAGGGCGCATCATAATCTTTCAATGAACAAGTGATCAATGGTATTTGGTAGAAAAATATCAAATTACAGGAGCAAGAGTAAGAAGATTCTTTCACTGGGTCAGGACAGAAAAGGAGTGATGAGAGTTTAGAGTGCTCAGGCATTTTCTGGACTTCCTGGAACTTTAGAGCAGTTCTAGCAGAGGTCCTGGGATAGGGCGATGTCACATGGCCCTCCATGTTCCAATAGAATCCAGCACAGGACCCTTATGGAACACGAGGAGGAGCCAGGTATCCACAGGGCTCTTACATGTCAGACTGGGAGTTCTGAGGAGTGGAGCCGTGTGAGGTCACAATGCAGAAACAGCTGACAGGGTTGGAGATGACTGGGTAACAGTGGCTGGGCATTGGGGATGGTCAAGAGACCTGCCTATCGTTTGCACAGTGCTTGCCTCTGTGCCTGGACTCCTGTTAATGTGAGCTGATTTTTCCCCTCATTGAATCTTTTCTTCCCTCTTCTTACATTATGTTTAATTATTTTATCTTAGGTTAGTTTTAGTTGGGTTTTTCTCTCTCATGCATTTAAATTATTCCTGAGTGATTCCCAAATGTAAACTATGATTTTAGTGAGTTACACTGAAAAATGAAGGTGTTCAGGTGTGATCATTGGAGGTATGAGAAATTTAAATGATGGCATCCAGCTTGGTAAATGGTCTTTGGGACATTCACATGATAAGCCACGTGATAATTAGAATTTTTAAGACAAGGTGCTATTAGGTTTTGATAGTTTGAATGAGAATGAATGGAAGGCTGTACATTGATTCACAGGTTTTCACCAACAGCTCCCAGAGGCGCCAGCATCCTTGGCTGGCGTCAGCAGAGCTCCAGTCTCTGCCTCTGGGTGTCACAGGGTCTTCTTCCCCTCATGTCTCTCTGTCCTCTCCTTTTTACATAAGGACTCAGTCATTGGAATTAAGGCCCACATGAAATCCAGGGTGAGTTCATCTTTATATCTTTAACTCATCACATCTGCAAAGACCCAATTTTTATATAAAGTCAAATTCTAAGTTTCTGGGTACATATGAATTTTTAACAGACATTTTTCAATCCTCTACCCCCACCCCCACCCCTGCCCCTCCACTCAATCAGGAGCGGTGGGAGGTGCACCCTGGAAGTGACCATCTTGTGCCTGGTGAAATGTGGAGGGCTTATATCAGCATCAGCCGTACGAGAACACAGCCTTCATGGCTCAGTCAGATCTGAGGGGTAGCAATACCGCAGGGGTTGTTTCCCTCAAAAAAGTACATGATTCAATTGATGAATGAGCCAAAACTCATAAATAAATTTAAACCTGAACATTAAGTTAAAAGCCATGTAAAAAACACAAGCAATATATTAATATTATAATTAAAATAATAAAGCCTTAAAAAAGGATTTGAATCTAGTCATCCCAGAGTGTTGGCAAGATCCGGGAAACTGCTAACAGGATTCCGGAACTCTGTTTAAATATTTCAGTAATGTGCTGATTTCAATATGTTGTCTCGTGGGTTGTGTTATTGGTGACACCTTGCCAGTGTAGCCTACCTACATGCAGCAAGTAGTCCTTTTAGGGGAACAGAACTCTCCCTGGCTGCTAATAAGTAGTCCAAAGCCAAGTGGTTATCAGCTACCATGGCTGCAGAAACATTTCTTTCAAGAAATCATCTAAAGCATTAGCTGTCTACTACATGTAACCTGAGTGTCTCGGACATTTCTTGATTGGCATTAATGATGTGCCCAGGTCAGCCCCAGTGACTGACAGGACAATGACTGAGTGCATGCAGTAGGAAAATAGCATGTTTGTGTTGGACAGGCCAGAGGGATTCAAAGGAGGACACCCAAAATGCAACACTGACATACAGGGTACACGGGCTGTACAGGTGATGTTACCTGGCAGACCCAGGAGTGAGAGTTAAGGGTGGTGGCTTGGGTGCACTATTGGAATAAACCAAAGACTTGGGAATTCTCTCACGTTAGCATAATTGCCTGCAGTTGGACTAATGGATCTGATGCTTGGGTGCAATCTTTGACCAGGGATAGCCTGCTTGATGTGGGAACAGAACACAGCGTCTCTGCAGTGGACTCCGTCACACATGCTGGTAGCACACTGTTAATAGACTACATGAAGTCTCTGGTCACTCCTGTGATCCCAAATGACTCCTGAAGTGTACATTAGGTCCAGAAAGCTGATTTCCTCCAGAATGAATTGCATGCGTGTAAGGGGAACACACTTCCTCCTATAAGTGGGATATACCAGGCGGTGGGGGAGCAATTTTGTTTTGTCCTACAGCTACCAAAACTTTCTCAATGAGGAGCCTCCGGTGAGCAAGTTTGAGGGGTTCTGCATTCATGACCCAAGGCGAAGGGGAAGTGGGCTGTGGAGGGTCAACAACTCAGGCCCCTGGAAATGCCTACATTTCAGTGCTCCTCTAGTTCTGTGTGGGCATCACCAGTTGATGGGAATAGTTCCTGGTACCAGAATGCCTGGGGTAGTTTCGTCCACCACAGGTGGTTTAGGGATCCTGAGCTGCAAACTGTTGGAGCTTCATTATATAATAAAGGGATTTAGGGAGAGACAGAAAGGCTGGTACTGGACAAGTTCCTGGGTGATTTGTTTCCGTATTCAAATTCAATATATTTTAAAGTATTCTGTGAATAATTAGGCAAGCAGATCTCATGAGTATACATGGCTCTGGTTGCTGTGGGTGATGGAATGTCCCCATCACACAGGTTCTGTCTGCTGTTTGTTGCCCTCTCAACTCACAGCTGCTGCTTAGAGAAATTTTCAAGGGGCACATGCATGGATTTCTAAAGACGTTTCCAAGTGAGCAGGAACAACGAAAAGCTGAAACCGGCCTATGGAGGCAACAGAAGAAAACGATCGATGCTGATGCATGTGACTGAGGATGTCCCCAGGCAGAGCCCACATGGGATGCACCTTTATGCTTCAGGACCACAGTGCATCCAGAGATCTGTCCGAGGAGCCTGGTTTAAACTCCAGGACAGGTTCTGGGAGCCCCGTCACTTCACTCCTGGTTATGTGCATGAGATGAGGGCAGCACAACCCTAGAGGGTGTTTTCTCAGTTAAGACAGGGCTGCAAGGAAGACCCAGAGGAGACTGAACTCTTCCTCATGGACCTTCAATTCTTCTCCAGAAAGATCCCACAGCTGTGGAAAGAAGTTCTGAACACATAAAAATCAAGTTTCAGAAAAACTGATCTTTTTTTAATCCTCACCAGGGGGCATTTTTTTTTATTGCTTTTTAGAGAAAGAGAAAAGGAAAGAGGAAGGGTGGAAACACTGATGCGAGAGAGAAGCTGAGGTTGGTTGTTTCTCATTGGCTCCCTGACTGGGGACTGAACTGACAACCTTCCGGTTGGTTAGGGTGTGACACTCCAACCGAGCCATCCAGCCAGGGCAGGAAAGCTGAGCATTATCTCAGCATATGAAAGCAAGTGTGTTATTCACTTCTGCAACAGCAAACGGGCCATGTGAACAGTAAACGGGGTCACGGGCTGGATCACGAAACAAAAGGCTTCCAAATACTCTTCTTGCAAGAAAAAGATGTTATGAAGTTCCCATCTCTCCTGTCACATTCAATTAAGATATGACTCAAAGCAATCCCCTCTCTCTGCAACGCACCTCAATTATTCCTTGGATGACTGACTGCCTTTACACTTCCACAATCTCTGTGGTGTTTCCACTGGGGAATCACAGCAGACTTGCAAAGATATCATCCTACACATAAACTACACTCAGGATGCACTAGAACGGTGCAGGTAAGCGTAACTCTTTCTCCAACTGGGAGGACTCTGGTGTAGTGGGGTACACATTGTGTCAGTGTGTACGGCAGCAACATAAAAATGGCAAATACTGTAAGATATTAAATATTTAAAGTCTAGTGAAAATCCTTTCAAATGAATTAAACGCAGCAGACACCACAAATATCTGTGGCCCAAATTAATAGGAAGTCTCAAGTACCACAAAACAATGTCCAGACTAATGACATGTTACCTGCACACATTTGTAATAACTGCGTCTATGAAGATAAACCATGTTTAAT